CATAAAGCCTGGGTATCCATATTTCTTTTTTTCTTTTTTTTTTTGGAGAGGTTTTTGCTATAGGGCGCGTGCGCTCGCCAGAAAGACAGAGAGAGAGACATAGAGACAGAAAGCGAGAAATCACCCCCCAGGGGGGATGGTCACGCCGCAATCCCTTCTCCTCCATTCTCCTCTCGGGATCTTGGGCATGCACGCACACGCGCCCAGCGTGCGTTTTAAGCCACCGGGTCCGAGATGCGAAACGCGGTCGACTACGTGGGAGTCCAGCGACATAGCCATTACGCTAACTGCTGGTTCCCTGTATCCATATTTCTTGAAAGCTCCCTAAGTGAATCTAATGCACAGCTGTGATTGAGATGGAATATGAGGGCTCATGGGATATGAGGACTGTTCTGTATATGGAACTATGCCAACAAAGGTTTCTCAAGTGCAGGCATCACTCACAGTGCCCAACCAGCAAAGGAAAAGCACACATCATTACAGGACGTTTCTAGGATTGTGTCTGGGTGCCCGTGAGCAGGTTCTGTGTAGGACAAGGATGGCATAAGTTTCAAGCACATTTTGAGGGGCAAGACAGTGAGTGGCCTAGAAGTAATGGAGAGACAAAGAGCAAGTGTGAATCATGGGCAGGTGGCCAGGTTGTGATGTGATTTCCAAGATCCCACTGACTGATGATCCCAGCACGAACACTCACTCCTTTGGCATAACATTTTGTCTCTTGTTAAAATAGAAATACCTGTGAATCACATCTGACTGGATTCATCTCCTTACCTGAGAACACATTGTGATGGGCTGTGGGAAAGATCTGGAAAAAGTGGATGGAAGGATGAGGAGGTATTGCCAAAGGAGAAAACACACTTAACTGGGCATCTTGCAGACAGTAGCAGCTGAACAAATATTGACACTTTGATTTGTTGTCACTTAAAAGAAAACTGCTTGAAACTAATATGAACTATTAAATATTCTATACTTTTCCCTGCCTACCCTGAGGAGCTCTTGGGAAGAAAGCAACATGAAAACAGACAGTCTCAACCGTAGGGAAATGGCCTTGTGGTGCAGGGTGGCCCTGAGAGTGAGGGCTCTGAGTTCCAGCCTGAGGATTTTCCTCTGACTCCTTGTGTGGCCTCCAGCCAGTCTCCAAACAGCTTTAGTTTCCTTGTATGTCAAACCAAGATAAATAACTAACTTCCCACCTCTCTGGGGCATTGTAAGGCTTCCCTTCTGCCACTTTCATTAACATTTGTCCAAAAACCATAAAAAGAAATCTTTCAAGAGGTTTTAAGGTGAATTATTTTTACTATTAGCATTATTATGATGATATCAGAGCTTATATCGCCTTAGGTCGGAAGGAGAATGGATTGGTAGAACTGGATGTTGGAGTGCAGGGCAGCCTCACTCAGAGAAGCAGTGTTTGTAGTGGAAGAGACACACAAAAGGGGCTTTGGGTTTGGGGTGCAAGGGAGAGAAGTCTGCAATTGGTACCAGATGCCATCAGAAGCTAACGACCTGACAAATACCGTCCTCATAAAACAAATTCCTTAAAAAGGAAGCAAATGGAAATATAAGCTAGTGAAAGAATTTGCAGCAGCTGCCCTAAAACCATTTCTCACTTCATAAACAGGTCTGGGCTAGGTCCTTTTTTTCTGATCTTAGTCTTATTGCATGCCACTTTTCCTTCTCCTACGCTCCCCTGTCTCAGTCTTCTACTTGCTGCCAGTGCTGGAGGGACTTTGCACACCAGTAGCCATGGCAACAGTAGTTCATGGAACTCAGTCTTGATGGAAGGAGGCTCATTCAGAGTCGTTGCTTTGTACGTCTTCTCAGCACATATTTGTCTTCCATGATGGCATGAATTAGTTGGACTAAGTCACTAAAACAGCAGGTACTCATTCACATTAATTTCTTAGCAATACACTGACCTGAACCAGAGTGTTAATGGCTCTCTGTTTTCTGGTACTTCCCACTCCGCATGCCCAACGAGGTGTGTTAGGATGTCAGTGCCATAGAATCTGTGCAGCTTAGAGTTCTTTAGCTTCGCTGATGAGCCGTTCTGAGCTCATCCCATAAAAGATGGTCAGGTTTTAGCTCCTTTATCCAGACACGTTGCATAGTCTCAGAGACAAAGATTTATTTCCTATATCGATAACCCAATTATCAGCATTGGATTTGAGGAATTTATCCACATCCCCTCTCTCTGCAACACATGTTCTCCCTTCACCAGGTCCCATGATGCATACCACATCATCTCAGGGGCTTGAACCAGGACTTGAAGAATGGAAAGTTTCCTTCACACCACTCACTTTCATTTCCTCCATCTCATACCTAACAAGTGAAAAAAAAGAAGAAATGACTGTATCACTGGCATATGATTTAAATCTACTGAGTATAAGGTTGAGGCAGCAATTTTAGCATATTTTGATCAAATGTTGGACCAGAAGTTGGCCTAATGGCTATGTCGCCGGACTCCCATGTAGTCAACCATGGTTCGCGTCCCAGACTCGGTAGCTTAAACTCACACCGGGCGCATGTGTTTGTGTGCCCAAGATCCCAAAAGGAGAATGGGGGAGAAAGGATTGCGGCATAGCCATACTCCCTCGGGGGTGATCTCTCACTTTCTGTTTCTCTATGTCTCTCTGTCTTTCTGGTAAGCGCACATGCCCTATAGGACAAACTTCTCCAAAAAAAAAAGATCAAACCTGTCCCTTGGGATCTAGTGCCTTCTTAACCAACTCTCAGTGATCTCAAGACAGCATGTGCATATTCTATGACAATTTTTTTTAAATTTCCAGATGGCATATGTGCTTGTGTATGAGAGAGAATAAAAAAGAAAGAGAGAGGGACCCCTCCCCCAAATAAGACATAGTTACACCACAATCCTTTTTCCTCCATTTCTTCACCCCATCGGGACTTGGGGCACACATGTACACATGCCCAGGATGTTTCTCAAGCCACCAGGGCCAGGATTCAAACCACAGTTAGCCATATGGGTTCTGGTTCCCTATGCACAGTGCTTAAACACTAAGCATCATGGTCGGTACTCAATGAAATTTTATCTTCTGCTTTCTTATATTGTTGTCCAACTTTTTGATAAAAATCATTGATCTCTAACATAGTTCACATGTTAATGGCGATGAGATTCACAATAGTTATTCTGGCTAGTAATTAGCACCACTGGAACCAACAAGAGCAAAGAAACATTTTGTTCATCTCTCCCACTAGACTATGAGCTCCTTAAGAGCATTGTACTTACTCCACCGGTATTCAGATCAGTGCCTTGCAAACAGTAAATGCATGGCAAATGTTTATTAACGAATGAGTGGGAAAAACATGGTTGGATCATTGTTAGGTGACAACATTTTTGTATTTTGGGATGCCCATCTGTCACTGTAAAATTTAACAAGTTTCCCATTTCAATAGCTATTGATGTGCTTTGCTGTTTCAACAAATTTAATTGAGCAAACTTTTATTGTGTTTACTACAGTGAGGTGTATGGTGAATATAAAAGAGAATGAGAATCAGCATTTCTTTTTAAGAACTTTATAATCTAGTTGGGAGATTCAACATTTAAGAGACACTCAGATACTAATTGCCTTATGGATAAAAGAATAAATTATTTAAAGAAGAGGAAAATGCATTTATATGAAGATTTTCAAAGAAAAGTACATAGAAAAAATGCATTCTATGAGAAAACTAGGCATGAATTTCCAAGTATTTTTTGCACCAAAATAAACTCATACTTTAATTTCTCTACAAACTTTTGGAAGTCCCCTCATAAAAGTCACTTTATAAAATTTAACTGGGAAATTCAAAGAAGAAAAATATTTGGAGGGCCTTCTCGGAGGAGGAAAACCTTTTAGAAATCTCAACAAACTGAGCAAAGGTATAGAAATGGGAGAACTAAAAAACAGGGTTGCTAACAGAAACAGAGCAATGTGGGAAGGACCTGGACCACTTGTAGTGGAGAAACAGAGGGAAGTAATTTGGGAACAGTAAAATCTCTATGAGATACACACTATTATTCCCATATGATAGGGAGCAAGCTGAAACACTGGAGGCTGAATAACTCAGTCCAAATCACACAAGGATAGTAAATAGTAGAACTGGGGTACAAACCCAGAGCAATGCCCTAGTTTTAACTTGTATGACTCTTCTGTGGCTATACGTTGACACTCTGCTTCATTCCATCCTTGCTGCTATTATGTTCTATTCTGAGTCTTCCTGAACCTTGGAGAGTTTATCGTCTCTCTTGTTCTTGATCAATTGGCCTTAGTGATCCAGATAGAAATTCTCTACTGAAGGATGTCTCTGGAAGCACCTAGCACAATGTCAGGCACATGGCAGGGATTCAATAGGTGTTAAGTTTCCTTTTCCTGCAATAAGCTCCATTTCTATTGAGGCTGTGCTGATACTGAGTGAATACACTGCTGTGGTTGTTTTAGTTGTCAAAATATTTCCATATCGATCAGTAAATAAATGTTTTCTTTTCTGCCATCTCAAATATCCAGGCCTTTCCTGCAGGGTTTTCTGGACTTCCTGTGATCAAACATCTAAAAAATTGCTACCTGGCACAACCAGGGATCTTCAGGAACCATTCTTTCCTAAGCTTTGTCCTGGGGTTCTTTCGACTGTTTGGGATCCAGCAGTACTGGTTTGGGATTGTTTGAGAATCAGCAATAGTGGTTGTTAGATATTCCAAGTACCATCTCCCAACCTATTCATCTCTGAGGTCATCCAGAACTCGAGATCCATCTTCGTTTTGTCTTATCACCATCTGTTTGTCATGGAAGAGCTATAAAGAACTGGTTAATTACTTGTTAGCTGTTGTTGTTTATGTTTATAATGCCACATGGTTCTAGGTAATAGAGGAGAAAATGATGCACTAAATTCAGGTTTTGGAGAAGAAATATTCTCCCTGTTATAGAGGTCCCTCCTGAAGGGAGCTGCAAAGTCATTGCTATTTAGAGCTAGTCCTAAGATGCTTTTGTTTCTGTCAACTGCAGCTGTGTCTATCAGTCCCATGGGGAGCAGGACAACTGTGCACCATTGCTGCTTGACCATGCAGATGCGGTGAACTGTACCTCTAGTGGCCCAGGTCACATGAAGTGTGCTATCACCTGTCAAAGGGGATTTGCCCTTCAGACCAGCAGCGGGCAGTACCTCTGGCCCATACAGGTGAGTTGAACACCCACAGCCATTAGAACCAAGCTTCTGGAGAGGACGCTAATTACGTTCTTCTCTCTGGCTGGCTCAGGAAAGGGCAGATGTTTGTCTATCACATAAAACGGAAAAAACAAGGGCATGGCTTTGTAAAAATGAAAGTCATGTAAGAGCATGTGCAATTTTTTTCTTTAAATTTATTTTTTACATGAATTCACTATACATTATTACAGCATACACAATGAATTTTCCATCCAGAATACACTGCATATTGGCTCAATCAAGCACATCAACATACGTGTTATCAACAAATAATTTTCCATTTCTTATGTCCTGTATATTTTGCTTTTTTTTTTTGCCATCCTTGATTCCGTATCCCTCAGCCTCTGCCGTGTCTCACCCTCCTCCCACTGATTGACTAGAATGAAAATTTCTCTCCGGGTAGGCAGTTAATGGGAATGCTTATTTTGGTCTTCTTCCTTGTTTTTGACACCTCTTAAGAAATTGTGTCCCACTTTTTTTTTGTCTTTCAATGTGAGAATATTACAGTAGATTTGTCCAAAATTAGCAGGCAAGATTGGTCGCAGTCTGTGAGCAACTTGTCTGTGAGCCATTGCTCCTCCATTTCCCTTACATAAGGTTGGAGAAATAGAACCTGATTTTCCTACCCAACAGCATGAAATCTGTTGCTAAGGCAGAGATTCTATCATAATTCTGGCTTTGGCTGAGTCTTACAAATGTATACAACCTCTGTTCCAAATTTCTACAGCACCATTTCCAGGATTTCAGGGGGTTTGGAGATAGTATATATTGGTTAACATCGTGGTTCAGGAGACAGATTTGAATGAGAGTTTGGCTGCACAATCGATTAGGTGTATAACTTTGGACAAAAAAGAAAAATGAGAGAAAGTAACCTTTGTTTTCACAGTTGTAAAATAATCAGAACAAGTATTTATCTTATTGAACCATTATAACTGGTTGGAAATAATTTTAAAGCTTTTAGAAAAATGATAAACACATAACACTCTGACTCTTCAGCTGCCATTATTATGAGAAAGCTAATACACGCTCAACTAAGAATTTGGTTTTCCATCTCTCATTTAGATAATTTACAATACTCTATAAAGTAATTTTAATCATGAAATCACTCATTCAAAAATAGGACCTCATTGTGAGATTGAGAAAGGATGCACTAGGCAAAGTACAATAGTGTTTGGAAAGAGAATCAGAAAGATGTGGTATCATAAGAGAGTGGACACATGATTGTTAGTCAGATATGAGTGGGCTGTTAAGATTGGGATTTTTTTTTTCATTTTGTGCCAACTGATTGCTTAATAGGTTGTAAACCTTTTCAAGAGTATCACTTGCTTAGAAATGGTCAAAATTTAAAGGCACAATCTTCAGCTTTAGATAGTTTAGGCTCTGCTAAGAGAAAACAGTTTTAATGAACCATGAGGAGCCCATTTTTTGGTCTACAATGCTTTAGTGAGAAAAATAAAGCCCCATCTCCTATTATCTTAGCACATCTCAACTTAGACAAATATAAGTCCACACAAGAAAAGATATAACAAGAATAAAAAAAGACCAACAAAAAATAAATGTAGGAACTGAGTACACTTATGCGATAGGTACATAAGGAGAGAGAAGAAAAGGGAATGTTTTTAATGCTTCAAAGTTAGGGGCAAATTTAAGATAAAATACCTAACAAAACCAGGAGAAAAACAGGCAATATAAGGAGAGTTTGAGGGGTATTCTTTAAAGAATTAGTGGCTTGTGGGGTTGAAGACAGCCTCCTAGGCTGTGATAAGGGTGTAAAGACAGAGTCCAAGTTGGGAAGAGTAAGGTGGGATCTCCCCCTTTGCCATCCAGATGGTGGAGTCAACCACAGGGCCCTCTTGCTGACCAATGGCTCCTATCACCCAAGGCTGGCTCCACATAGGAAATTATACAGTCCCAGCTCGTGATCATAAGACGGTGGGGATATTTGCTTTTTGTTGACATAAGAGCTGAAACTAAACAGAAAAATGTGTCTGGCTTTGAATTGGGTCCTTCTGGCAGGCAACTAGGAGACATCAGGGAGCAGAGAGGAATTCTGGCCAGGAATGGGTGTCTGGAGTGACAGGTGCCTTTGGCAGTCACTTTACTATTGGCTTTGGTGCCACTAGTGGGATGACTGGCTCAGCATCAGGAACCACCCCCCTCCCCCCACCTCTGTTGACCTTTGGCAATAGTAATAGCCGTGCTTTTCCCGAACAAGCCGTGAGTGTCCAGATCGTGAAGCCCCTGCTCATTCAAGCAGAACACCTTCTCCCACCTTCTGTGCTGCCAGAGAGTCCTGCTCATCTTTCAAAGACCAATGTCGGTGCTGCCTGCACTCTGGAAACTTCCTCCAGATGCTTTTACTCCCTGCCCAAGGATAGCTATCCCTCTGTAGCTCCCCTACCATAGCTGAACCACCACACAACAGCGCACATTACATGATGAGCTTTTTTATGTGTGTATATTTTCTTTCTTCTTGACTCCAGTTTTCTACTCCTTTCATTTTATTGTTCACTTTTTTTAAAGTTTATTCTGTGAGCTTGAGAGAGAGAGAGGCTAAGACAGAGAAACAGCACTCCCATTAGTGTCCCAACACTGTGATCCATCCTCAGCCAGCCCTGGATCATGAACACACAAGTGTCCAGTATACACAAAGAAGTCTCTGTGTGCAAACCCTGTACCCTTCCATGTGGGACAGCCATGCAGAGTGTTTCATTCTATCACTGTGCCACCATCTGGTCTCATTATGGTTTGCATTTTTTTCTTTTTTGAGAGGTTTTTGCTATAGGGCACATGCACTCCCCAGACAGACATAGAGCAAGAAATCACCCCCCAGGGGGGTTGGCCTCACCACAATCCCTTCTCCTCCATTCTCCTCTCGGGATCTTGGGCACGTACACACACGCGCCTGGCGTGAGTTTTAAGCCACTGGATCCGGGATGCGAACCGTGGTCGACTACGTGGGAATCCAGCAACATCAGCATCAGGAACCACCCCCCTCCCCCCACCTCTGTTGACCTTTGGCAATAGTAATAGCCGTGCTTTTCCCGAACAAGCCGTGAGTGTCCAGATCGTGAAGCCCCTGCTCATTCAAGCAGAACACCTTCTCCCACCTTCTGTGCTGCCAGAGAGTCCTGCTCATCTTTCAAAGACCAATGTCGGTGCTGCCTGCACTCTGGAAACTTCCTCCAGATGCTTTTACTCCCTGCCCAAGGATAGCTATCCCTCTGTAGCTCCCCTACCATAGCTGAACCACCACACAACAGCGCACATTACATGATGAGCTTTTTTATGTGTGTATATTTTCTTTCTTCTTGACTCCAGTTTTCTACTCCTTTCATTTTATTGTTCACTTTTTTTAAAGTTTATTCTGTGAGCTTGAGAGAGAGAGAGGCTAAGACAGAGAAACAGCACTCCCATTAGTGTCCCAACACTGTGATCCATCCTCAGCCAGCCCTGGATCATGAACACACAAGTGTCCAGTATACACAAAGAAGTCTCTGTGTGCAAACCCTGTACCCTTCCATGTGGGACAGCCATGCAGAGTGTTTCATTCTATCACTGTGCCACCATCTGGTCTCATTATGGTTTGCATTTTTTTCTTTTTTGAGAGGTTTTTGCTATAGGGCACATGCACTCCCCAGACAGACATAGAGCAAGAAATCACCCCCCAGGGGGGTTGGCCTCACCACAATCCCTTCTCCTCCATTCTCCTCTCGGGATCTTGGGCACGTACACACACGCGCCTGGCGTGAGTTTTAAGCCACTGGATCCGGGATGCGAACCGTGGTCGACTACGTGGGAATCCAGCAACATAGCCATTACGCTAACTGCTGGCCCCCCTATGGTTTGCATTTTTAATGCTGTACTCTCTCCAGTCATTATAGAAGTTAGTATATAACAAATAACTTTTTATCTCTAATGTTTTCCATTATTTCCTTTCTCATCTTCTTCTCTCCTTTTGTCCTTCCTACCATTCTCCTCCTTCAGACATGTTCTGGGTCACAGTTTCAATTGCTTTTCTCTTTAATAAATTTCTAGCTCCTTGGGGCCATCTTATTTAGTACAGAACCTGGTCCTTCTAGGTGCTCAATGAATATCTCTTGGTTTATTTAGTAGAGACATCCACTAGGCCTCTCCTGCT